TTATGGATGATATTCAAGTAGTTGAGATACTCAGGAACAAACAAATCCCGAGAAAATAGCAAAAAGCCATCAAAAACACGTCCTGGGGAGTTTCTGGCGCGCGACAGGTCACGGTGACCCTGTGACTATGGGTCACCAAGTGGTGACTCGCGCCATCGCGGGTCACCTCTTGGTGACCCGTGCGACTGCAGGTCACCTCTTGGTGACCCATGCGCCACGCGGGTCGCCTCAAGTCTTAACCATTTTTGCTTTCCCGAACTTTGTATTTTCTGTCGTTTTACGTATATGGTCATCATGTTGACTTGTACACTTTGCTAACTTGCATTATGCACTCGTTAGCTTCTTTACAGCACTTGGAGCTGACCGACAAATGCGGCGGTGACAAGCCGCGGGCCACTCGGATAATCCTTCTTGACTCGGATGATGACGTTCATCATCTTCTCTTTGTCTCGAGCTGTGTGCGGACACCTATAGGCATTTTTAGATGCCTACAATGCCAGGTGATGGATGCGTTGCACGCATAAAATTTAAAGGAGTCTCTTGAGTTACAAGAGAAACCTGTAGATATGGAGGATAATGTTTGGAAGAAGATGAACAATAGGGCTTGTAGAGTTATTCGGTCATGCTTGAAGTCGGATCTTATTTATGATATTATGAATGAGACATTAGCGAAGAAATTATGGGAAACGCTCAATGAGAAGTACTTTACTAAGAGCATTGAGAATCAGCTTCATTTGAAGAAGAGGTTTTACCAGTTATGATGAAGAGGGGAGTTTTCATTAGGAAGCATGTTAACAACTTCACAAAGCTGCTTTCGGATATGGCCAATGTGGATATCATGATTGAGGATGAAAACAAGACGATGCTACTTTTGTGTTCATTGCCGGAGGATGATTATGATACTTTTATTCTCACTATGATTAATGGAAGAACGACTGTTAATTACAAGGAGGTGATCTCAGTGTTGGTGAATTATGAGTTGAGGAAGAGTGTTGACAAATCCTTCGAGAAGGCATCGGGAGATGTATTAGCAGTTCAAGGCCGTGGTTTAAACCATAGTAGGAGGTCACAGTCTAGAGGTGCACACTTTGCAGTTCGTAAAAATCAGTATGCCTTTTGTAAAAAAGATGGACATTGGAAAGCCGAATGCTCAAAGTTAGATCGAACCGGGAAGAATAAGGGAAAAATTGTACAAGCTTCAGAGGTGAATGTTGTCAAGTTTAGTGGTAACAATTCAGATTCAGATTCATCAGGCTATTCGTTATCTGCACTACCGCCAGTTTGTGCTGCCAACTCTACAGAGTGGATGTTAGATTCAGGTGCTTCTTACCATATTTGCTTTAGGAGGGATTGGTTCTCCAGCTTTTAGGAGTTGGAAAGAGGGGATGTCATGCTCATGGGTAATGGACATGCATGCTCTATTGGTGGTATTGGTACCGTTCGTATTCAGATGAGTGACAGGGTGATTCAGGAGTTGAATGAAGTGAGGTTCGTTCTTCAGTTGAAGAAGAACATCGTTTCAATTGGAGCTTTGGAGGTAACAAGCTATAGGGTGACCTTGGTGGATGTACGTTTGAATGTCACATTGGGGTCCATGATTGTGATGAAGGACGTCAGAAAGAGTAATTTGTATTATTTGCTTGGAAGCACGGTAATTGATAGAGAGCTGACGACTTCATTGGATTTGGCTAGATTGTGGCGTTTGTTGAGGCTGGGATATTTGGTTATTGGTACCGTGCATTGTTTGTTGAGGAGTGCTTTGACCTTCAGTTTGAAATCCTATGAACACATTGGTATGAGCGAGAAGACCGAGGTGGAGTTTGACATTTCTATCCATCGATCGAGGGGTCTTCCAAGGGGTGTTCATTCAGGCATTTAAGGGCCTTCTAAGGGGGCATCATTGGGAGATAATAGGTATATAGTTTCATGTGTTGGTGACTGTTCTAGGTATTAGTGGGTTATAACCAAGCCCCGTTGGTGTGAAGTCCTAGAAGTCAACAACAGTTGGAGGAAGTGTATTGGCAGAAAGGTAACACGTCGTTTTATTTTTTGTAGGGGTTCTTTATTGTATTTGTATTGAGCTCACGGTAGTTTGAGACACTTCATTAGAGAGGAAACATTAGGACGACGAGATGAGATGGCAGATTTGGTGAGCTGTTCCTTTTTGGAGGAGGATCGGCATTTGATGTCGAGCATTGGTTATGGTGATCAGGCTTTGACATGTTTGAGCCATCTTATGCATAGGTTGTCGACTTATGCATTTAGAGATTTTAGATCTGGTGGAGCTGCTTCAGATTTTGGATTGCGTTAAATGTTTGGCTACCCAGCACTTGGTCATATTATGGATGTGAGATTTGATCTGATTGCACATTTGGGATTCAGAGGCTCGTTTGCTTATCAATTGGGAGACTCTGATTTTGTTCTGAGCAGGTTTGTTACTTTTGACTCTTGGCATGTAAAGAGTATTGATCAGATCGTTAGGATATCGTAGCAGGTGGAGTGTGATGCCACTTCACGTTAGGTGGAGATTCCTCCACGTTCTCCAGATCATACTGCATCGTTTTGTGATTCCAGCTGAGGTAACACAGATTGGGAATCATGTTATTTTGGATGCAAATGATGAGTTGGTTGATTCGAGTGTAGCTGGTGGGTATAGTTTAGATGATGAGTTGGTTGATTCGAGTGCAACTGGTGGGCATAGTTCACCTTAGGAGGAGGTGTTTGGTTTGTTTCGCTTTGGGGCCATTATGAGAGCTATCAGCCGCAAATTTGTTGGTAATGTTAGAGAAGGGTTCCGAACTCTTCTAGTTGATTAAGGTCGTTTGCGGCTATTTGGGAGAACTACGTGAAGACTTGATTCCTTTGGCAAGAGGATACGTAGGCAGTCATTTACGATGCAGCCGATTTGATGGGTAGATACCGACGTTTGGAGTTTGTTCGCATTCTCATTTGGGTTCTCGACTTGTTATGGATTGAGTCCGTTGTCATGAATTGTTTCACTTCGTACTGAACGCAACAAGTGAGATATTTGGTTTGGTTGGTGTCGACTCAATTTTGGGAGAAACTTCACCGAGGTGGAGAATTATGAACGTGGAGGCCACTTCTCAATGCTAGCAGCAAAACCGCGTGAAAGACAGCAAAACCGCGTGAAAGGCTTCATGTGGGGGCCACGAATTTTAGCGTGGGAGGATTTTCTGCAATCAACATTGAAGAGAAGAGTGTAGGGGCCACGAATTAATTCCACGCGTTTTCACCCGATTGAGGCTATATATATCTCTTACAATTAGCTTCTAGGGTTTTGTGCAAGGCAGCGGGTGAGAACGCAAGTGTTGGGCGGCGTGCAAGCAAAGGGAAAAACACAGCAGATTATTCTTTGGGCTACGTGCAACATGGGTAAAACGGCAGAGGCTTGATGGCTGTCCTTTTATGAGAGTTTTGAGAGATTGTTTGAAGGTTTAATTTGTGTGATTGTAAACCCTATTTGTATTCTCTCTCTAATAGTAGATCTCCCCCTCCTTGCCCCGTGGACGTAGGCAACTTGTCGAACCACGTAAAATTCGTTGTCTTGCTGTGATTTGTAATAGTTTGTTTAGGTTCTCTCGACAAGTCAGTCCTAGAACTCATGAGAGGAAGAGTGTATATCCCACTTTGTTAAGATATATCACTTTCGATTCTTGTTTCCTTTATGAAATATGGATTTAGTTAAGATCTACTCTCTTGTTGTGCACCAGATGTGCTGCCGAAATTTTCGCTACGCACAACAATATAAACATTACGAATCATCATAATGAATAACCACAAATTGAGGAAAGATAGCTATAAGTATTATTACATGTAATTGCATAAATATAACTTCCTACAAGTAAATATGGTTTTACAAAGACAGATTACGATCAATATGATCGTAAACCGCTTATGCTTCTACAACGTCTAATTTAACAGATGCATACCTTTAGTCGGACACCTTTACCATTATAGTTATAATCTTAAAAACCCCTGTTACATTAAGACATTCTAGGTAGACCTTTTTTTCAAGGAAAATTAAACGTATACTAGTTTCTCTCCCCATTTCTAAACTACGGTGCTTGAAGAAATTTTGTTCAAAACTTGGGTTTTGTCGATATTAGTCCCCCACATCTTTCATATTTTGATATTACTCCCCTAAATCCTCATATTTTGAAATTAATCTCCCAAACGTGTTAAAAGTGTTTTGAAATTAGTTTTCCAAATCTTTCAGATTCATGCTAACTAGAGGGGCTAATTTCAAAGCACGTGCAAGATTTGGGGAACTAAATTCAAAATATAAACATACGGGGGACTATATAAAAAACTTAAAGCTTTGGAGGATTAATTCAAAATATGATGATTTGGGGGAGCTAAATTCTAAATATTGAAGATTTGGGGACTAATAAATGTTGATGGTTGGTTGGTTTTACTAACTAATAAATGTGAACCAACTGGTTGGGGCTCTTAAATTCGCTTCTCCTCGCTGGCCGGTGATCTACCCACATACGCATGTGCCAGTTTTTCTCAACCGTTCGGACTTTATACGACTTGAAAACTGCACGGTGCGTTTTATGTTGGAGAAATCGCAACGGGTCGGGTTCGGGTTAGGTAGCATGGCTACCGGAACCCGAAACCGAAGAACAAGCTGGTTATGGGTCTAGTAGACCCAAACTCCATCCACCTGCTCAACTGGGCTTTCGAACTGGTACCTTCGTCAATGGGATTGAAACTGGGCCGCAGCCCGATCCATTCCGGTTTCTGTTCTTTTTTCCTTTTATTTAACTTCGGCCCTAAAACCTCAAATAAATCCCAAACCACGATTTAAAAAAAAAAAAGGAACAGAAAGCCTCGACGCCAAAAAACCCCAACGCCATCAGCAGCAAGCCAGCCCGAGTGCAAAGCCGCATCTTGGTCCGCGCCCGCTCCCGCCGTCGCCGCCTCCGGCTGACCACAGCGCACCAACCAACCTACGTCCTCCGAGACATCGCCACCCTATGATCGGCGACTCCATACTGGGTCGACGAGAACTACCTCGCCGGTTGCTTCTCTCACACCGGCGACGTAAGCCCTAACCCTGAACTCTAACCCTAACCCTAACCCTAACCCTAGACTTCTAACCTCTCAATTTCTCTGCAGGTCGTCTCTATCAAGATCATCCGCAACAAGATAACGGGTCACCCCGAGGGCTACGGCTTCGTCGAGTTCGTCTCTCACGCGGCCGCTGAGTCTATTCTTCAGTCTTATAATGGGCTTCAGATGCCCGGCACCGAGCAGACCTTCCGGTTGAACTGGGCCTCTTTCGGCATGGGCGAGCGGAGGGCCGACGGCGGCCCGGATCATTCGATCTTTGTGGGGGACTTGGCGCCGGATGTTACTGATTACCTGTTGCAGGAGACCTTTAGGGCTCAGTATCCTTCGGTTAGAGGGGCGAAAGTTGTGACCGACCCTAATACGGGGAGGTCGAAGGGGTACGGGTTTGTGAAGTTTGGGGATGAGACTGAGAGGAATCGGGCGATGACGGAGATGAATGGGATGTATTGCTCGACGAGGCCGATGAGGATCAGTGCGGCTA